AGAAAAAGAAAAAAGAAGTGGCTGCATTCTGAATCTGATTATCTGTTTAATTTACTCAGGTTTTCTGCTCGAAATATTTTGCTGTCCACTCTCCTACATACATCTATATTGTTTTGTCTTTGGGGCCAACTCAAATCTGCTTCATTGAAGACATCTTTTTTTCAGAGCCCTAAACATGTTGGTTTCAAAACTACATTTTCTTGAAATTCTTAAAGTACTTTTTCTCTGATCCACAATTCATTGTGCTTTATGAGATTTTAAGCCTTTATCAAGGAGCATATGCATTGCTTCTCCACCTGTAGGGTTTTGGGGACCCAGGTCAACAGGGAAATTCTCAGGTAGATTCTCTGAGTGGTGGATCCACTGCTGGGCACTGTCCTACACTCATTTTGTTATTATCCTGCAACTTTTGGTTTTAATAATCACAAATACCACCTCTTGCCATTTGAGACTTTGTCATTCTCACATGAACTTTTTTTCATTTTCTTGCTTTCATGTGGTATCTCTGAATCTCCTTGTGCAGAATCTTGGACCTCCCTCCTATATAGGACCACCCAACACTGAGATAATACTTAACATGGAGAGAGTTTAGACAATACCCATGTCTTATGTTTGAAAGTTCCCAGCAGCCATATTGTAGGTGATCTCTATGAATCTAGAATTAAATTGGCATACCTTTTTTGAAGAATGTATTTTGAATTGCATAAATTTTTATTTGATTCTTGTTTATCATAAAACCATAATTCTTATTCTTAAAAGAATCTCGAATAGCCAGTGGAGTTTTTGACATTTGGAAGTCAAGGAAAATTGTGATATGTGAAATTTGACACAATTTTGGAAATTTCTTCCTCATGATTTTAATTGGAAGAAAATGTGGAATATAATTTACTAAAGGTTGAAAATGTATACCAAGTGTAGTTGAATTCATTTAGTCAAATACTTGCTACATTGTAAGCACTCTCCATGTGGATAAATTCCATACGTGTCTACAAGAAGTAGGTCAGAAAAATAACTGGGCATTAATTGTTTTATAATGTTCCACTAAGAACTATTTTCTTATGATTTCAAAATATTATCTGAAGCCATCTATATTTCATGCATTTCTTTTTGACCTCAGAACATAATTGCCTTTGGTACTATTTCAGGGTGTCAGGTTTAATTGTGGTGTCAGGTTTAATTGTCCTCGTGTGACTCTTAATTAAATAGTGAGATATCATTTAAACTACTTGCATTCTTTGTTGAAACAGACTTGTTGAAATTCAGTGTACTAGAAGCCTACTTTTAGCAGACATACTTTTAAAGAAAGTAGATGATGGGTTGCTATTTCATTGGGTTTCCAATGTTATTTTTATTGCCAATAATTTGGGACGAGATTTTCAGAGCACATTTTCATAACTTAAATAAATGAGTTGGCATGAAAATAGCAGAGACAAAATATACATATTTAAGAAAATTGGGTCAAAGACTCTGCTGAAACTTAGAATTGGTAATGTTTTCTTTATGGCAGAATTTTGGTAATGAAGTATTTTCCAAAGTCATTGCCAATACAGTAGAAATGTGTCCTCTTTCAGGTACTCATGTCTCTATCTATAACTATGTAGCTTGTAACCAAAGCTATTACATTGGTAACATCATATTCATTGAATGTTTTCTTATTTTTAAATTACACAGTTTTCCTGCCTTCAGACATGGTTGCTGGTGAAAACATTCAGCAATGTAATTAAAACTAATATAAATAGCTAATTAGATACATTGGATATATTATAGTTTACAGAAATACATTCCTTTAAACAAAGCCTCCGTAATTTGTGGAGTGAGATTTGTCACTAGGTCACTGAAAAAAATGCAGGTAGATGTTAAGTGGAAGAAAGTTTCCACAAAACACTACTCTGGAGATCTGTAAACATTACAGTACACATAACGTTTGAATCATTCTTACAGATTCGGAAGAGTTACATGAAAATTTGGACCTGGACATTTTAGTTGACTTTGCATCTGGTTGTAGTGTCTGGTTCTAAATAATATTTTTGACAGTGAAGACCCAGATTAAAACTATGCCAATGTTTTGACAAAATTGACTGATGAGTTTAATCAGCCAAATTGTCCACTTAGTGAAACAAATGCTTTGACAGTATGATTTGCGTATGTGGTGTTTCTTTATAAATTAACATTTTTTAACTTAATTGGTTACGTCAACATAATTTAGCTAGATGATTTCAATGTTTGGGAGCTTTTCAAAGTGATTTTTCTTAAATGGCTATACCAAAGATAAGACTCTTTTAACAAAATTTACTATGAAAGTATAAAACAGTCTAAAATTATGATTTTAGGGACTTTTGTGAAAACGAAAACACCTCTGTGATTCTATTTAAATAGACAAATCATGAGTTTGGATTACTGAATTGGAACATTTTTATTACTTAATTATCCCCTATTTAAAACTTAAATACATTCACTAAAATGCCTTTAACAATGAAAATAAAATCTTAGTATTAAAAAGGGCTTAATGTTTAAAATTCCATACAATTTCTGAATGATAAACAAGTATATTTTATTTTCAGAGCAGTGGAATTTCAGTGTCTCTCTCTTGTGAGAAAAGTCTGCCAAAATGTCGACTTAAGAACAAACTTTAAAAAATAACATCTCATCCAACCTCGAGTTTTGTTAACTCTTTGATTGATGTTGTGGATGTACTAGATTCTTCTTCAGAGAGAGAGAGAGAGAGAGAGAGAGAGAGAGAACAAGATGTTGCATGCTAACCACCATAATTAAGTGTGCAGTGCCACCAGAAGAACTTCACATGACCTTTTCAGGAGTTACAAATCAGGTCTATAATACAGTCACACTTTTCTCGGCAATGTCATAGAAATGAGTTAAAAACCTGCGTCATTCTCAATTTTGAAATAATAGTCATGTTTTAAAAACCAAATCAATTTTTTTCTCAATTGCATGTAAAACTGTTTGTAGTTATAAAATTTCTCTTTTTACCTTTTTCCATTTAATCTTCCTATTTGCATCCTCCTTTGTTGTTTACATTTTATGCCTAATAAAAAAAATACCGCAGGGACTGGTGGAGTGGCCCCATGGTAAGAACGCCTGTCTAGCAAGCATAAGGCCCTGAGTTCAAACCCTAGTACCACTCCCCCAAAAAAAAACACAAGAAAAGTTCTATGTATTTATTTCAGTATATATTTTATGTATATACACATTAATGATTTAATCAACTATCAATGCAAATCACATATGTTTCTCCATAACCGATTCTCTAACGTGGAAATCCACTTATTTGCAGTGGGTAAACAATATTTAGAATTTCAATTATGTGCTTTTCGAGAAGACTTGAGTTTTTTAAACAATTAGAATCTTGACTTTCTTCCAATAATGCACTGAGTATATTCACCATATTGGAATGGGAAAATGTTAAACCTGGCCTGAAAAGATAGACATCTACTGTACAAAAATTAAGTATATACATTCAGCAAACATCGAAAATGAAATAACAACCTAGCTGAACTCATACTGGGCACACATGTAATGGACAAAGATTTAGTTTTCTTGCTATCCAAACAGCAAACCTCCTATAAGGATGAACAAGCAATTCATCCTTATACCCTAAAAAAATTTAAATATACTCCATCATACAAATAAAGTGGTAAGTTAAAATAAAGATATTGTACCAATCTTCATCTATCAAATTAGCAAAATTAAAGGAATTGATATTTAATTTTGAGAAGAAAAGTATTTTTTATTGTTATTTCAATCAGTTGATGTTAGCGAAATTTGAAATGTTTTCCCCCTTTTACCATAAATGTATTGTATAATAATATTTTTCCAAATTGTTATAGCCAATGTACAAGGATGTTTATATATGTTTTTATAATATTATGAAATAAAAAGTGAGAATTACATAAATGCCTATGAAAATAGGACAAATTAATCATATATACCGTATATGATGTACCTGTTAAAAATAAAGGAATCAATGTCCTGAAGTGAAAAGATTTCTATCATATATCATTAAAGTATTAAATAAAGTATTCACAGTATCAGACAATATGTGTATGGCACCATCAGAGTGAAATTCACCTGTGTAAAATAAACCGAGTGGGCGGTCACGTAATGTTTGTATTTGTGTAGGAACGTCTCCACATTGTTAATCTGTTTACCTCCTGACAAGGAGAAGGATGTGGGGAGGAAGGTAAAGGAAGATACAGTTTTTCTGCATATAAATCTCTATTTTCTTAAATACAGAACATGTATTATTTCTATGATTAACTCATAAAGTATACTGGTTATGTTAATTATTGCTTAAAATAATAAAATTATGTTTTAAAATTGAAGTAGACCACTTTACTTAGATAAGTATCTTTAAAATCAACAACAGTGCAAATTTTTGCCGACTTTCCATAGAAACAGGAAAGAAAGAAACACCCTTGAAATTACCTCAGTATCTTGCTCTATTAAGTAGATGGTATTTCTATGTGGTCTTTTTCCTTTTTTTTTTTTTTGCAGTGCTGGAGGTTTGAACTCAGGGCTTCAGGCGTGCTGGATTGGCAGTCTACCACTTGAGCCACACCTCCAGCCTTATGTGGCCGTTTACTTTCTGAGACTGGGCTCTATGCTGTTTGCCCAGGTTGACCTTGGACTCAGGATCCCCCTGCCTTAACCTCCTGAGTAGCTGAGGAATAGGCACTGGACACCTGTCAATTCTGTGTAGTCTTCACCTCACACACAAAAGGTTTCACTAAAAAACCCAGAGTGCTTTTTTCAACTGTAAGAAAAAGAATGTGATGACGTTTTTAAGAAATCACTGTTATTGTTGATTTTGGGGGAAAACATAACCCGTAATGTTGCTGAAAAGAGAAATATCCTATTTTAGCTAAAATTATGAATCATAATTGCTTTATGCCCTGTACCAATTTACCCTAAACACCGGAAAAGCAAACACATGGCTTCCCTATGTCCTAACGAAGAGGTCTTCTCCTCCTCTTCCCCGGCAGCGTTCAGCCGCGCCCCCATCCCGATGGCCGTGGTCCGCAGAGAGCTGTCCTGTGAGAGCTACCCCATAGAGCTGCGCTGTCCAGGGACCGACGTCATCATGATCGAAAGTGCCAACTACGGCAGGACTGACGACAAAATCTGTGATTCTGACCCTGCTCAGATGGAGAACATCCGATGTTATCTGCCAGATGCCTACAAGATTATGTCTCAAAGGTATGATGAGTATATAAACCCTCATCGTGGAGCTCTATGATGAATTGAGTATGGGTAAGAACACAGTGTTGTGCAGCTTAGGATAATTTGAAAGTTTTCAATATCACCAAAATGCTAGTGTCAGAAATTTCAAATTGCTCCTTAAAAATGTATTACATTACTTAGTAAATTTCATGGTGCAATCTGGATGTTGTTTTTTTTCCATAATGTTCTCTGGACCTGGATTCATATATGAGAGACTAAATTATTTTTCACAACTTACAAAATAAGAATTTGCTCTAAAAATTGAAGAAATAGTAATTTCCTAATTGTGTAGAGAAAAAGAGGAAATAGATTAATACGCAATTTTTGTAATCATTAATTATAATATAGCAAAACATTATTTGGCTGTGAAAAACAATCATTAGTTTTGTAGTATATAAAATCTAATACATTTGAAACTACTTACTGAATAATACAAGTTAAGGTCCATGTAATATCACTGGAAAAGAAAAGACCTTTGATTATAAAGAGATTGGTCAATAGTAATCCATACTATATAAGGTTTAAATTTTATTAAAATGTCCTGACAAATTAAGTAAATCATGTGCCTTTTAAGTATTCCTTCACTATTACTATGCTTTCTCAGAAATCAGTGAAGTCATTCGCTTATTATAAGTCCCTCATATTTTCTGACTACTTGTCCCCAGAGTAATTTTTAAATAATTATTCAAAGGATTTATTTAGTGAATTTATTTTACCTAGTTGAGTAAACTGACTTTTTCCACAAGAATTTTTATTCAGGCTTTTCTTTTTTCTTTCTTTCTACTTCTTTTTGTTCTTTCTCTGTAGTGCTAGGGACCAAACCCAGGACCGTGCACATGCTGGGTAAGCACTGTACCACTGATGTACACCCCCACGCCTTAGTTTTTTTGAGATAGGGTTTTTCTGTGTAGCTCAGGCTGCATAGATCTTGAACTCAAGATCTTCCTGCCTTCTGCCTCCTGAGTGCTGGGATTACATCGTGTGCCATTGCACGTGGCTAAACGAGTCTTATCCTTCTGTTATTTAAGAGGCTCAAAAAATATAAGGAAAACTATTGCATTTATAAAGCTAAACAAATTGTAGACCAAACTAGTATAATAGCATGTGGAAAGGCTTGTGTTCAATCCTCAGCACAAAAACACACAAATAACAACAGCAGACTTAAATACAACGAATTCGAAGGACTGTTTATTTTATTTTATTTTTATTTTTGGTAGAACTGGGGTTTGAACTCAGGACTTAGTGATTTAAAAGCAGGTGCCCTACTGCTTGAGCCACACGTCCAGTCCATTTTGCTCTGGTTATTTTGGAGACGAGGTAAAAAACTATTTACCAAGGCTGGCCTCGAACCAAAATCCTCTCTATCTCAGCCTCCCAAGTAGTTAGAATTACAGGTGTGAGCACTGGTACCCAGCTAGGACTATCTTTTTTGTACTTAAGAAAATCTTCACTTTTTAAAAAATCATTTGCCTTTTTGATATTTAAAATCCAATAAGCATTTTTTGTGTGATTAATGAATTGACAGTCAATATCAATTTATTGTGTCAATATAATTTATTGTATAAATTATTAATGTAAATTATAACATGCCAGGTGTTTGATGATTGAACCATCTGAAATATGCTTGAAGGACAATGGACTTTATGCATATCAAAGAAATTTGTCTATTTCTAAAATGATGTGTTAAGCTAAAATACATGTTAATGAGACAAGATTTTTAAGTTAGGTAGCTGGGCATGGTGGCACACATCTATAATTCCAAATACTAAGGAGATGGAGTTAGGAGAATTGAGGTTTGAGGCCTGCTGTCTGGACAAAAGTGAGAGACTCTGTCTGAAAAACAAACTAAAAGCAAAAGAGACTGGGGATGTGGCTCTTGTGGTAGAGGGCCTCAGCAGAAGGCCCTGAGTTCAATCCCCACTAACAATAACAACAACAACAAAATTAAAATTAAGGATTCTACTTGATAACAGTTTGGTTATATCTTGTTATGAAGAATTTGTAATGTTCTCTGAGAAGCAGAGTGGCACTGAATAGGCACTATGACTAAATTGTTTTTATTTATTTCAATCAGACAACCAAACAAAGGATTTCTTTTAGCATTTCTTTGGGGTGTAGTTTGAGGAGGAAATTCTGCTTTTCCCTGATTAGGTTTTCAGTTAAATATAGCAGAAGTATTAACTTCATTAGCTCTTTGATCTCTGTAAGATTTTCATTAAAATTGTTTTAATCTTTTCATTGATATTAGTAAGGACATCCAAAATAAGCCCTTAATCTTATAATGCTTTTAAAAAATAGCATGGGATACCTACACATCGAGGCAGGTCTGCAGGGTGACGATGCTTGCAGGACCGTGCTAAGTCCTGTGAGTGAGCCCTCCTCACTCAGTAAGACCTGTCAGTTCACAGAAATCACTGAGCTTCGTTCTTCATGGAAGGAAGTTCCTCACTTGCATTGGAACTGTTAAGAAGTACTACATTTACACTTGTCCAAAAGCAGTGTTGTTTGGCTCTTGGAGAGAAGAAATCACATCCATCTTGTGGAATGGCCCAGGCCACACCTGCTGCTTTATTATTAGCTTAGCTACACTGTGGGGCCACCAGGGCAGGGTAAGTAATAATAGTTGATAACTGTGATGTGGATATATCACACTGTGAATGGTATGGGCAGCTTAAGTAGATTAATGCATTAAAACTGCAATTCTTTTTTTCAATTGTGCTGGGTGGGGGTACATCGTGACATTTACAAAAGTTCTTATAATGTATCAAATATATCATACCTCAATTCACCCCTCCCCCACTGTTCTCCTTTATTCTGCACCCCCCACCACTATTACTGGAATAGTTTCAACAGATATCAGTCTTATATTTTGCATACATGCATACACAGTATTTGCATGGCATTCACCCTCCTACATCCTTTCCCCACCACCTCGCCTCCCAGTGGTATCAATTACTGCCTTCCCCCACTGTTCCCCAGACCTGTTCTTCCCTCCTGTTCTCCTATTTTGTACAAGAGAAAAGAAAAATACTGACATTTTTGTTTAAGATAGCTGTATGGGGAGTTTCCTTGTGACATATATATATATATATATATATATATATATATATATATATTACAACCTGAATTGATTCATCTCCTCTACTTTTCATCTTTCTATCGTAGTCCTTTTCTTATGGTGGTTTCAACCAGTTTAAAAATTCTGTATTCATTCCTATATACATAGTACATTAACCATATTCACCTTCTTAATTTCCTTCTTGTACCCTCCCCTCTCCTATGTGACCTCCCCTAGGAGTGGTATTGCTGGATGATATGGCAGTTCTATTTTTAGCTTAAAACTGAAATTGTAATGGTATGTATAATAGAAAGTATCTTATACTAATGTGTTTTTAAATGTGTACTTCTAGCAAGAGACTGGGTCAGGATCTGAACACCTTAAAGTACGTGGAGCATAAAGAAACCAGTAAGATGCTAAGTGTATAAGTGGAAAACACTAAAAGAGAACTTGAGTGAACAGCCTCCTTGCTATAACCCTTCACTTATGCTTTCTCGTCATGACTTCAAAGTGATTGGCATTCTGCTATTGATGTCACTCTGAATCCTCTTCCATATGTGCTTATACTAGGGCTCATACCCTCTTCCTCTCAAAAGCCTCTTGTAGGTCAGGTATACATGATCTCAAAAAACTTTGGTACTGTTCAGTAAATTTCCTTGTTTAAAAAACAAAACTTGTGTTGGAGTCCTTCTTATAAATTGGACAAAAATTACATCTGAATGTGAGAAATTTGAATATAACATATAGTGATAACTTCTGGCCAGCTTTTTGTGATACATTTTAACATGTGGCCCATATATATATTTTTTCAAATTAAATAAGCATTTGTGAATACATATATATACAGATATATGTGTAATTTTTATTGAGATATAATGTGCCTATGGAAAACTGTACATGTTGGATGTGTGCAACTCAGTGTATTTTCAGACCAAGTTCATTCATAGAACTCACAGCAAGGCACACTCATCTCATTGAGAAGTGCCTCTTGTGCTATGCATCAGCCTTACCTCCACCCCAAGGATTGCCCCTGTTCTGACTTCACACAGAATAAATTAGTTTTGTCCATTTTGAAATTTAAATAAATGGTTTTATATAGGATATACTTGGGTTTTTTTCTGGTTTCTCTCACTCAGTGGAGTCAGATTTTTACAACTTTGCTAAAGCATTTTTATATACCATGTCTTTCACTCATTTCAGGTGCACAATGATTTTCTAATAAATTTACCAAGGGATACAGCCACCACAATAAATCAGTTTCACCATATTTCTATCAGTGCAATAAGATTCTCCAGACTAATTACTGTTAATTCCTGTCTCCCTATCTCCTTCCCCACCACATGTAATGTCTTAACTTATTTTCTGTTTATATGTTACCCTCAATGCATGATTTTAAACTATAAAAAAGAATATTTGCAATCAAGTTTAATTTATTGAGCTATTCAGGGGGGACACCATAACAGAATTATTAGCAGTTATTTCTGGAGAGATGGACATAAATTTGTCACTTGCATTTTGAATTTTCATAGAATCAAAGATCATGAATCTCAACTTTAAAACAGTCTTTCATTTAAGTTTTTTAAACAAATAGAGATGTTAAAAGCATAAAGTAAGAATTTTTTTCTACTTCAATGAGAGATCTAAAATTTTGTTTTAGTTTTAATAGTGTTATATTTTCACATGTTATGATCATATCAGAAACATGATATTAGGGGGATAGAGAGAAAGAATGAGAGAGAAGATTGTTTCTCACCTTTCTGAAAAGTTATATTTCAGTTTATATCAGCAGCACTGCAGGGGATTTTACAGCTTGCTGAAAGATTTTGGTTTCTGTTGTATTCATTCCTGGTGAAGCTAACAAGTTTTCAATGAGAGTATAGGAAGAAATGCCAGTGGCACTTTTTGTGTGTAGATAGCC